TAAAAAAAAATCTGTTTACTCCTTTTTAGGAAATTGGGCTATAGGTTCTGGTTCACGGATTAGGTCTAGGTTATAAATATCCGTTCTGGAATTAACAATTCTGTTAGTCCCGGTCCATTTTTATATATATTAAAAATCGGATTCAGTTATATATGTCGTATTGAGATATTAGAAACCATGGAAATTTGGAATCTCTCAATTTTATATCATTTACTAAAGGGCTATTTTTAAATTAGGAAAATCTGATTTCACCGAAAATATATTCTAGCATGTCTTGATTACCTACCCTATAAATTTAAGACAATTTTCACCATAAATGACTATAAATTAAGAAGCAGTTCTAAATTCCACGATAAAATTATTTGAAATTTATAGTGTGGTGTGGGTACTTTCTACTTGTTCAAATATATTTCTTATCAAATCAGATTTTTTCTAAAAAGTCGATCTAATAAGTGATTTAAATTTGAAAGTTTCCAAATTCCCATGGTCCATACGATATATATACACTATCCGATTACAAAAAAAATAAAGTAACATTTTATTATATTTAAAATTGTATTATTAATGAAAAAATTTAAAAGGTTAATAGTGTAATTATAAATAATAGCATATATAAATGTTTTTTTTAAAAAAAAAATTTTCTTTCATCTCTATTATAGTAATAGAGCTTTTACTTAAAGCAAATGAATATTGATTTTTTTCTTAAAATATTTAAATTAAAAAACGAAATGCCGAAAAAATTATAATAATAATATTAATTTCCAATTAAGGAAGAACGGAACATGACAATTATTCTAAAATAATACTTTAAAAATATTTAAAAAAAATAAAATAAAGTATATTTTTTTTATATTTCTGTTAATTTAAACGTAATAGGGATGAGGGTTGAAATCGGGATTAAAGATTTAAATCTATTAGTTAAATGTTAATAAGATTCGATTCTCTTCATCCTGGACACCCATTTAAATTTAAAAATTAATTATTTAAATTTATAATATTAATAATGAATGAATATAAGTTTAATATTATGAAATTAGAATTATAATTTTTCATTTTAAATTTAAAAAAATCTTGAAAATTAGATTATAATGTTATATAACGAAATACTAAGGATTGGAAATCTTTCATAGATACTTGTTAAATATATCAATTCAAATGTTGATGCTAGAAACAACACCGGCTCTATACTGTTTACAGGAAAAAAAATATGTTATTTCTGATAACAATTATTATTATTTTTTTGCTAATTTTGGCTTTAGAAAGCTAAGGTATGAATTAATAAATAAAATTATTAGAAAGTTATATAGGGATAATATTCAACATTGCCAAACCTCGTGATACTTCAATCATTAATAAAACTCAATCGGATTGATCTGATCTCATGGGACAACGGCCAACATATGTAGTGGACCTACACCTATATCGACATTTCCCCCTTCTCATAGCAACAATTAACATCCACTTAGGAATACCGAGAGAAAGAAAAGCCTATTTCCCAGATATCTCAATAACATATTCATACCAAATAGTCATATCAACTTCCTGTTCTTTTGGAAAATGAGTATAAATCCTCTCTTCAAATTTATAAGTATATTTGAAGTCCCTAAATCCATGATCTTCTTAAAGCATTTAAAATTGAGCAAAAAAGAAGCTATGAAATGTTCCGTTTTAATTTCAAATTATTCAAGAATCCGTGGCTATTGCCATATGATGATAAAAACTTACAATTATATATTTTTTTAATATATGAATTACATATCTTTTTCAGAAATGCCCCTTAATGGCTACTTATATTTATAAAATTTTCATTTTTATTAGGGTAGGGCTCGAAATAAATATTTTTTTTTAAAGAAAATGAAAAAATTAATAAGCGTCCGTTTTTAAACGCTTTACGCGAATCGTCAAAAACGGAAAAATATGAACCAATTAGGAAACGTCAAATGTTTTTCTAAAAACAATTTAAACTAAAGAGATTTGCTAGGAAATTACCATTTTTCAATTATATTTAAATTGGTCGTTGTTTAATGACTCAGGCTCAAGTTTATGATCATGCTATAATAGATTATCGCTTCGAAATTTTTTTTTATAGACAAAAGATTTTGCTAAAATGTCATATGGCTGCGTATAGGACACCCTATTTTGGTTTGTTTTAAGTGTTAGATAACATTATTCTTTTTAGAATTTTATTTTTCTCGTTTTTTATTGTTGTTTATTTGTTTTTATTTGTTTTTTTGTCTTTACATCTTAGGGCTGTTTAGTCGAAGCCAAATTGCCGGCTAAACAGCCAGCTATTTAGTAAGTCGAACCATAACACGGCCTAAAAGCTTCTTAAAAAATATGAATAATATATTTTTTTTCGATTTTAAAATATAATGTTGCCCCAATAAATTTAAGTGGTGGTTTTTAATTTTTCTACTGTAAATTTTTCCCATTTTAGCCTGTACTCCATTGGGTCTATTTAAATCAGCTTGGCCAGGCATAGGTTTTAAAACGTGGCTATTTTATGGCCTATACGAATTTATTTTTTAAATTTAATAATCCAATTCTTTCACTTTTTTAAAATTTAATTTTCTAATGAAACAAATAATGAAGTTCCTGTTCTCAATATATTTGTAGCTTAAAACAGATTATAATACACTTAAATGTCATATTACCTCAAAATAATATTTTTAAAATAATAGGAGCCTTTTATTAAAATAAAATACATTTTATTATATTTAAAAAATTAAATTATTGTTTTAAAATTTTAATTTATATTTTAAAATAGTTATTTGTAGGTTTTGTTTTAAAAAATAGTATTCTTTTGGTTCTGATGTAAGGGCTCTTATCTTATCTATTTTTTAAGATTTTAAAGTTCCGCTTGGCATATGTCCAAGGGAAGAGATAACGATCGGTGTAAAAATATAATTTGTGAATTTGGAATATTTCATTGTTTTTTTTTCTCGGCTATATCAACCGGATTAGAATTTAAATTTTTTGGGAAAGAAGATACGCATGTGAAGTCCCAAATTAAGGATTTCCCTAAAGACCAAGGCACGGAAGTTAAGCCATCTGGTCTTAAGCCATCATCTAATGATAAATTTGTAGTCTTCAAGATGTTTGGTATTCGGACCCTGGTAAGAGAACGGCTAATCAAATGAAATAATGATTTTATATCAAATTATTTAAATTTTTCAGTGAGGAATATCAATATTATATAATATTTTTATCATGCTTTTTTATTTAATCCAATCTCAAACACGTCAGCGGGAATAAGAGGAGATTATAATAACATTTTAAAAAAAAATCATAATAGCAATAACTTAATTAGATTAAAATTTCCAATGTGAAATACTTTAGGTAAGGTAAAACTAGGTTAATACTATATATCTTATAAATATTTATTGATCCAAAAAAAAATTTTCAACAAAAAAAATTCTATTAATGTCATATCCAATTTTGAAAAATCTTAAAATATAATTCTTAAATTTTATTTTTTTTAAATTCTCAAAATATAATTCTTAAATTTTATTTTTTTTAAAAATCTGTAAACAGGTAATGAAAACGATTTACGTAATAACAATCTACGCACCCATACTTGCTGAGATTAATGGGTAGAAGATATTAATGAATTATGAGAATGGCATGCATGCTAAGTCAATTTGACGAGTATATAAAAAAAAATCAAGGATATTTTTTTAAAGCACTTATGTTATGTGCAACAAAAAATGGTAATATCATTTATGGTATTCACAATATAGGGTGAAAAAAAAATCTTATAAAATTCTGATGTTAATTATAGATAATTATTCATTTGACTCTTGAGTGATAAGGTGAAGGGGAAACGAGAGTGGTTTGGTGGGGATTAGCTCACCCCCATTTTAAAATTTTTTATAACTCACCCAAATTTCTATTATTTAAGCTTTTATATTTTCGACATTTATTAAGATTAAGATTTAAATATTAAATTTAATTTGAAAATATACAAATTTTTAAGATTTAAATATTAAATAAATTAATATTTATATAGTGTCCAAAATAAAGTATAATTGTCTTAAATATTACACATTTAAAATATTCATAATCAATATTTTTAATTTAATTGTTCTATACACAATTTTTTAAATACAGTTTATTTATTTTTAATTTTATAGATATTCATGGCGAGTTAAGATATTGGGCCCGGTACTGATATATTTAAAAAAATATTACAGCCCAGAACGGAGTTGGTCTAACCTGCAGGACTCTGTAAAATATTGCATAAAAATTCATAAAACTAAACATTGTTAAGCATAAAATAGAAGCCACTAAAAAAAATAGGATAAAATATAATAAAAATAAATGAAAGCACTCATTCTATAAAAAAGGAATTGAGTCTAAAAGTTATTTGAATTTTTTTAAAGACTCCTATTTTGCTTCCTATGTTTTTCAAAAAACCGCTTGGGTAATTTGTTAATTTAAATTTCCTTTTCTCCGCTATTTCATACGGATTAAAGTTTAAATTTTTGGAAATAACTAAAGACCATGGTGCAGAAGTTTGGACTTGAGACATCACCGGATGATAAATTAGCAGGTGTCAGGGTTTGGTAATCCGGCCATCGTAAAGAGAGCTACTAATAACTGAATTAATCGCTGCGTACCTTACATGTTTGCCTTAACTAATGGGTTTTTCTTATAATGAAATTAATTCAAAATCTCTAGGGTGTTTCCACACTCAAGGGTTAATAAGAAAAGAAGAAGAAAAAAGAAATGTAAAGTGAATAAAAAGAAAAGGAAAATAAGGAAAAGAAAGGTAAAACGATATTTTGAATTATATTATTAACATATAAATCGATTATTCTATCAAATATATTTTAAAATGGCGGGGAAAAAAGGGAGGTGGGAGGGATTGTACCATATTATTATTTTATAACCTACGTCATTATTAATTATTGATTTTTTTTTGTAATATAATATATAATAAAATTATTTCTTTATAATGTTATCTAAATAACAAAAATAAATTTATATTTCGAGAATTTATTTTTTGTTTTTTTTTTGTTTTTCTTTTCCGAAAGGTCCAAAATTCAATATTCAATTATTTAAATATATTGCATAAGATCTTAGTGGAAATGGAAGCAACAATTTTGACGATCCAGTCATATTATGAATATATCACTACTTTTAAAGGTTAAAATTTTTATAACTTGTTATATTTCAGTGTCAAATTTTTTTTTTTTTAAAAAAAATATGTATTACATTTTAATTTAAAAAATAATAAAAAAAATAAAATCACATCAAATGCTTGTATTAATTAAGTCTCTATATTCAAATATTATTAATTATACATTACAATTAATGAGAAATAGTTATAATAAATATAAACTCTCATCAGACCTTTTGGAATATTTTCTATAACATAGATTGTTATGTTTTATGAAACTCTTAATTCTTCAATTTTTAAAGAAAAAAAAATCCAATACAATTTTTGTTTAAATCTATATGGCTCTAATGCCTATTTAAAGGTAAGGACTTATGCCTAATTCTGTATATTTTCTAAAGATATATCTAAATTTAACATACGAATAAGGAACATGTGTTGTAATATTTTATTATTTTTTTATTAAATGGGGAGGGAATAACCCAAGAAATCTTATTTTACTTTTTTTTAAAAAACAATTATAAATTTAATACTATAATTTATATGGTTAAACATATTGGACATAGATTTAATAATATAATTTTGTATAATATCTATTAAATAAGCTGAAATGAACAAACATCTATAATAAAGAACATAAGATTTAAATATTTATGTATTTAGATGTAATTGATTTTTGAATCGTAATTTAAAATTCAATAATAAAGACTCAGCCTTAGGCGTGCTGTAGTTTTCATTTGGCTTGTAACTGGTTCTATTTATTGATTAGAAACACTGATTGATGATTAGTAGATACCAATCATGCTTTACATATTGTTCAGTGCTTCTATAATTTTCCTTCTAACATGATGTCAATCTTGCCAATTTATCATTTTGTAATAATGTTTTTCATTAAACTATTTATCAAACGGGTTAAAGTTAATTTCAACCCCCCCCCACCACCATGGAAAATCTTGGTCATGCTACTGTTTTGTGTAAGTTTTTAAAAGGCGTTTAAACCATTCCTAAGAGCTCCACTTTTCGTAGAACTCACCAGTCCACCGAGCTAATTCTTAGTAATTTAGTTATCACATTCCCATATCAATAATTATCAAACTTGACTTCTATCATAATATCTTCTTATTCGCCTGTTTTTGCTCTTTCACTATCTGATATTTCACATTCGGGCTTTTTTTCTTCGTGTTAAATTACTGATTAAACCCTTCTGCACACATTTTATGATATGTCACACTTCTTAAATTATTTCTTAGCCTTACATAATATAGAAAGATAACTAAATGAAATATTTTTTTAAAAATGTATTACTTTCTACTTTTATGATAGGTTAGAATATTTAAAAAATATCAAATCTGAATAATTTCCAATTAAAGTAAATAGCTAAAGTCAATCCTGACCCTATCTCTTAACTAATATATAGGCAAATGCCCTTCATGTTCAAATAGACACTGAGAGTTATCAATTAAATTTGACTCCCATAACTCAACAGGATATGTCTGATTTAATACTTGATAATTTTCCCCATTTTATTTTAGAATAAGACTTTTTAAACATGTGCTCTTTCTTATAGCAACGCATTACATGATACCTGACTTTAATATATATCATTGTTAACAATATAAAATATATCCAAATTCCCCTCATACCACTCTGTATGTTCCAATTCCTGAAAAATCTTTAAAATCCTCTCTCCTTTGCTAGTCATTTCACTATATCTCCTCAATCCCACTCGAAACTTTCTCTTTTAGTTCTTATCTGTATGTATTTATTCGTATTATGAGCCGTGATGATTATCTTATCTACATGACTCCTTGATTGTTGCCTGATTATCTATGGGCATTTTATATGTGAAGTCTATGCATAAGAAATTAGTGATTTTAACTTAAATTCGGAATTTCTCACATTAAAATGCTAGCACCATTCATATGAAGATAACTTTCTATTCTATTAAAATTTAATTTTTAGCCATCATTAATCAATCTTGTCATGAAGGCTTTAAATTTTTTGTCTTGAATACAAGCACTTACGTAGAGCCCTTAGATTGTTACAGGTTTGCCCTTATACAAATATTTAAAAATTCTTAATCTAACACACCGAAAACCAGTTTTGCCATTTAAGACATGTTTTGAGCAAATACCAGGAAGTCACCTAAAGCAATAACGTAACTAAGGAGGAGGCATAGGAGCTCGAGCCCCATGAAACTTTTTTATGCTCTTAATAAGGTCATTTTGAGAATAGTATCTAAAAAGGATCATTTTGAAAATCTAGAATAAAATGTGGTATTTAGAGTAGTAATATTAATATAGAGCAAAGTAACTCATTTATAGATACATAAAGAATTGGAGGTCATTAGTAAAATATTAATCCAAGATTGAAGAAGTTATCAATATAAGTTCTTAAGGTTCGGTGTTTCAAATTCTAGATATATTGGCCTAGCATTATCTTCAAAAATTAGCAATAACGTCTCATGGTAATTCTATGGACCATATCTTTGAAAAAATATCATTTTCTTTTATTGCAATTATAAAAAAAAATAACTTTTAATTATTAAAAATTTTTAGTTATTTGTATAAACAGAATTGTGCTATGTTGTTTTATTGTTCATTAATTTGATTAAACTTTTGGGAAATCGGAAAAAGATATATAATTTTGTATTTTTTTTAATATTATTTTTTTTTAATTGTATAATATTAAAAATAGGTAAGTTTTAAAGAAGATATTTCCCCCAAAAACTCAATGAATGATAATAATGATATAATCCAAAATAAATAATTTTCACACTAAGCCTAAATACAAGAAATCATCGTTACATTTTATTTCGCAAATCACTTTGAAAGAATTAAGCAAAAACCCATAAAATTCCTCAAAATCGAAAGCTAAATTTTAACTAGTGTTTTTATTATCACCGAAATTGAATGATAAATTTATGATAATAGGAAATCATCTCAAAAATCTTTCATTTATTAACATTGAAAGAACCTTGAAATCAAATGTAAAAACGTATAATTCTCTGTCAAAGCTGTGCTATGCCACATTCCAAATTTTGTGGCTAATTTTATATTTATCTCACTGGCCAATCACGGAAGCCAATGATCATGTGATTGATCCTCATGTGACTAATTTAGAACACGTGCATTCTGAAATAAGTCTCGCGATTGGTTGGTTAGACAGTTTTAGTGGGACTAAAGGGATTAAGCCAATTCTGACTAATCATTTTCTAGTGGTGCTCAAACAAAGCTGCTCCGACCCGAATTCAATTGCTCGCAATTATTCTATGACAAATCTGGGACAGGTTCGTTATTTTGTTTTTTTAACTTTTTAATCAGATCTAAAAAAACATTTAAATTTGTCTTTTTATTTATTTTTATCATTTCATACTACTTTTTCCCTTTTTAAAATTTTTGAAAAGCTAAAACCTCGAATGTATTAACAATGATAAATAATATATAGGCTAATTAGATTAACGATCCATTTATTAAAGATGTAAATATTTAAGAGTCAACTGTAGGGGCCATTTTACTGTCTGCGCATAGACTAAATACATATATTGTTCAATATTCTATTGTTTAAAAGAATTAAGGCTTCGTTACAGTAACAGCGATGATGGTTAAGCGATGCGTAATTAAATGATAACATGGATGCATAATTTAGCATTATATTATGTGAGTAACAATGTCACTCTACTCTCGCGGTTTTTATAAATTAGGCTTAATTTTTGTTTAAAAAAATACTAAAATATTTAACGAAGTAAATGTTTTTGGTCATGTAGATCATAAAATGACTCCTACAGCTAATTCCATAACACAAATTTCTTCCTTTAATTCCAGTTGAAGAATCGCATCCAAAAGATAGGATCACTTTCCTAACATCTTCGTGATAAAGGTGGTAGTAATTGATTTTCATAATACCATAAGATTTATACACTGCAATAAATTATATAAATTCGTATTTTAAAAAGTCTAACTAGAGAACTTTTTAGGATTACAATAACAACAAATCTCTTTATTATTTTTACCTACTTAGTATCAGATTAAACAATATTCACGAAAAATATGTTTTTTTTATAAATACTTTTTGAATGTGTGATCACACTAAAAACCCCCTCTGTACATCGCACGAATGAGGTATAAATATTTTTAAAATAATTTTCATATTTTATACATTTTTATTCTAATGATTAATCAATATCACTCTTGTAATTGTATAAAATGCCATAAGAAAAAATGACTAAATTCAATATAGATCTAGATAAGTTAAATCTTGATAGTACTGAATTTTTAAATTGGCCATTCCAGTGAAATAGAATCACACTCAAAAACTTTAAAATTAAATGTCCCCACTAGTTAGCATAGTATATTATATGCTTGAGCATATCAATAAAATCTAATTAATTAATTATTTGAAGTGAATTGGCAAGCATTATATCAAACTTTCAAACTATGAATCAGATCTCATAGAAGAACTATTAATTTTTCTTTCAAAGTTTTAATAAACAGTCGAATTTCTATAAGGACCTACATTGAACTTGGAATTACTTTTCATAAAATCGGATAAATAAATGATGATAATAATTTGGAAATTATTTCCTTAAGAAAAGTATATTTAAAAAAACTTGCCTTACGATTTTCTGTTCTGCAAATAATAGTATTTTAATTTATTTGATTTACTTTTTATTTCAAAAATTTTGTAGGGTTTAGGTTCTCTTCTTCTTTTAGCTCTAAGATTTCAAAAATTTTAAATTGTGAAAAAATATCTAATAGAAAAAATTGCAAACTTATAGGGTATGATGATATTAGATTGGTAAATATAGAGATTGAAAACCAAGAAGAAATATTAATTACAAATTAATTGACAAGGTTAACAAATAAACATTCAATAATAAGCACACGTTATAACCACTTTAAGGGATTTAGAACAATAATGCCATATTCTTCAGAAAAAACGTCATTCACACAATATATATATGTTCAAAATTTTTGGGAAAAGTGGATCGAACTTTCGAATTTTTCCAGGCTAACCAAAAATAAATTGGTGTTCCGGCAACTCGCACACCTAGTGGGAGAGCTTTTTCTACCCCCAAATTAACTTTAAATTCAAGAAGATCATCTTATATCCGGAAAATTAAAATAAAATTATAATTATACATGATAACTATAATATTATAAAATTGAAATTTTCTAATTAGTTCACTTTTTAATAAAAAATTTAAAAAATGCCGATATTATTGTATTATTTTATTTTGAATTTAATTTTAGATTTTTCTAGAAAGAATTTAATTGCCAATTAATAAAAATATATATTACAAAAAATTCACACCGCCGATGTTGACTGCGGGTTAAAAAGCGACGTGCGACCTCCCGATTAGAATTTAAAAGTCGCGCCGGCCGTCGATAGTTTTATCAGCGCATAGGTCTATATTTAACAAATTTAACTTAAGTGTAGTTCTAAAGATTTCATGGAAATCTGTTCTATCATAAGGTTCATAAGGTTTAAAATATGACAAACACATGTAATGTGGTTGGGATTAGAGGTATGCATTGGACCGGTTTTTGGCCCGCTTACCCGCGGCCGCCCATCTAAGTGAAGAACGGGCTGGGCTGATTAAGATGAATATTTAAAATGTGGGCGGGCGGGTTAAAAAAATTTACAACTTTTATTTGTTATTTTACATTTAAAAAAATATGATCCCTGAAATTTAAATTTTTTTAATAACTTAGGGTTGTCGTTGGAAGAAATTAATTAGATAAAAAATATATTGAAAACATGTTGGATTTAATTTGCATGGAAGAATATAACATCAACATGAATAAAAATCTGATTTTAAGAATTTAATTAAATATTATTAAATTGTAAACGCAAAGTTTGAAATAAATAGCTTCCACATCAAAATTAAACATCAACAGATGGGAATATGTGGCTAACAAGTTTTTGTATAATTTAGTAAGATTTTAGGGTTGAAGAATATTCTTCTTTACGTACATTGGCTTTAAGTTTAGAAATTATAAATATTGAAGAAATGTGAGGGAAAGACATATGACATAATATTTTTAACGATTTGTATGATATTGGGATTCAACAATCGGAGAATGATTCCACCATTAGCTTTCTTTTCTAAAATTAAAGCTTTGGAAAAAATTCTAACTTAAATATCGAGACTATATATATTAAGAGCTATTTGTTCTACTATAATTTAAGACGATATGCAAATGATATTTTTCGATATATTGTTCTCATAGTCCAATTTCCATATTCAAATTTATAGATTACACAACAAATTATCGTGGAAGAAAATTTTCCCTCTCAATTCCTTCAACTATGGGATAAATTCATTAATAACTATCAAGAAAGATTTATTTAAATCAAAATTAGTAAAACATATATTTATATCGAAATTAGTAAAAGATTTTTAATCAAGAAAGATTTATTTAAATCAAAATTAGTAAAACATATATTTATATCGAAATTAGTAAATATTTATTTAATTCGAAAATGATTTTGTCAAAATGAAATCGAATAAATAAATATATTATAAATTTTTAAGCCTGCACAAAGGGTTTTGGTGAACTGAAAAAATTGTTTAACTGATGTTGTTAAACGTTAATGGACAGAGGATCCTAAACTTTATATATAAATGTATTGTAGAATTTTATTTTCCATATTTTATAATTCCAATATAATGATAATTATTATAACACCGAAATTGATCATAAATTTATATTATAAACAACAATTTAAATGCTCACAAATCGTAAAAAAATATTATTGTAAATTTTAAAAAATAAAATCAAATATTTATGGGTTAAAATTTTATTTTTAATAAACTTTTTCTTTAAAAATAATTAAAATTATATTAGGAATTTTTATTATAAAAAAATGCTAATAACCCCTTTAACAACTTTTTCCTCTTTCCAAAAATTAAATATTAATAAAAGTCTTTAAGGATAACTATAGCCAGTCTCTCTCTGAGGAAGAAGCCTTCTTTCAGATCGCTAGTATTCTTGCGGATGTGAGATCCTAAATCCTCGAAGAAGGATAATGAGTTTATGTAGTAGATATTATTGGGAAAAGATGTAATCTGATATTTCCGAATATTTGGAAATTTTATGTTGTTTATTTTGCTCAAGTAGGTTTGGAGCTTGGTTTGATAAAGCTAATGGATCTATATAAGAATAGTCCCCAGAAATTGGCCCCATTTACTTGGGATCAGGTGATTCTGTCAGACCATTTCCCATCGGATCTAAAAAGTCCTGGTGGTTCTAGTGCGGGCATTTGGGTAGATTTCATTGCTCCATGATCAAGGAATTGTATTTTTTGTGCTAGAGAATTCGTCCCTTGCACGATCTGCAATATAAGCTGTGTCTTCCTTTGGTGTCTATAGGGATTATGCAGCCAGAGCAGAAATGAAGAAAGGTTATTATACAATTTAGGCCGATTCCTATTGTGTGAGTTAGCTCATTGTTGGTTAGTTGAAGTTAAGATTTTTGGAAGGAATGATTTCCATAAATTATATCTTATTAATCAAAATTTACAAATTATATCTTAATATCTATTTTCCAAAATAAATCATAATTAACAAAAATTCGTAATATTTTACAACTATATAACTAATTAATATTAATTGTTTTTAAAGAAATATATTATATTCCAAATTTTTTAATTTGAACAATAAAAATCATTTGCTATCTTTTGACTGATTAAAAAAAATATATAATTAATTATAGGATATATATATAATATTGTAAATGTAAGTTTCATGTTACAATTATTGATCAATTTCAAAGTTTTCATAAAAATAAGCACAATTTTTAAATTTCTTACCATAACATATTCAATCCCTCTTGATAAAACCATTTCGAAAAAGTTAATATTAAATGAAAACACTATCTAACTTTTATGTAACCTTGAAGAAAAATTTATTTTCACTAACATTTTAATAGTCTTTGTTTCCTTATTTGAAAAATAAAGGTTTTTATAAATATTATTATTCTATGTTATTTAAAAGGATATATAATAATATTTAAAAATCAATAAAAAAAAATTTGGCCTGAATATATTGGAAAAATGAATATATTTTTGTTTTCATTTTAAATAAAAAAATATTAATATCTCTAATTATTTTTTTTAAAAATATATTTGAAATAATTTAAAGTTATTGTTAGAGAACAAATTTTTCAATAAACTATTTATAACTTAAATTTTTTGTATAAATAAATATCATTTTTAATATCGAAAAGTTTTAACTCTTGTTTATGTCTTAGATGGTTGTTAAGCCGATCTGCGTTTTTAGCAAAT